GGTCCAAAATAAGTGATTTTTTCAGATTTCAAGAATGAATTAATTATTTTTTTCCTACATTGTCCTTGAGTAAATAGTGTTGGAATATGTGTTTATGTGAAATAGTAAAGGTTAATATGGTCAATTTCATTGCTAATTAATGCTAAAAGGTGGATTTCTTAATCTGTGTGAAAACATCCAAAAAATCACTTATTTTGGACCGGAGAGAGTAATTACAGATAATGATCGACAATAATAGCGGCAGACATACATAATTAGGTAGGGGATCAACTGAACACAATATTTTGACACATAGTATATATATATATATATATATATGATATAAAGGTTATTTATGGATCGTGTGTGTAAGTTATATCCTTTTTTGGCAGATACCTGTTGACTCTAATTTATATCATTCTCTCTTATGTTGCTTCCAGTATATTTTTTTTGAACTGAAACAAAGACATTTATTAGATCGAATCAGCAATTAACAAGTTTACAATAAAACTAGGAGCATACTCTCAATAGAAAAGACTAGCATAATTTCTAGACTCTCTTGCCAAACAATGAGCAACTAGATTTGTTTGTCTCTTAACCCAACCAGAGAAATTTTTCCTTAACAAGAAATGATAATCATCTAAACGCGCTCCAAACATTGCAAAACCTCCATTTGAGGAGTTACAAGAAAGCACAATTTCCTGAGCATCACATTTAATTATACTCGCGCATTTTCAGATTCCATGTGGAGGCTTAAATCAAGACGGTGCCACAACCCAGTGGAAGCATTCACTAGCTTAAATTTTCCAGACCTTCAGATAGAACATAAGTAGGAGAAAAATCATTATCATTCCACAAAAATTAGTTTCTCATGGCCCAAGTTTTCCAAAGGGGCTGCACATGTCTGCCTAGCCTTTAAAGAACTTGAGTCATTAACAACGCGACTAAGGAACTCTGCAATACTAATGTCTTCCTCATCTAGTTCATATTAATCGTCATGCGGCCAAGACTCTCTCGCGTTCTCGCAATCAAAGAATATATGTTCACTATTTTTTACTGAACCACAAAAATGACATCCCACTTGAAGATGCCACTAGCTAGTAAATTTAATTTAGTAAATAGAATATTTCGAGCTAACTTCCAAATAAAATCTTTGCTTTTCTAGGACTTTAAAACGTTGATTCTAATTTTCTACTTTCCTTCATATTGTTTTTGAATGGTAGCTTGTGATATATGTAGGTCTAGCAAGTGACAAAATCATATAAATTAAATCTTTGTGGCTCCTTTAATACTATCTTTTTTTGTAATTGCCTTGATTATTATCGTCATGCGTTCATTGTCACTGTGATTTTTAGAGCTAGCCTAATCCATATAGGTTATTTATATTGTTCTTCCAAGCAATATATATCATAATTTCCTAACTAGGCTTCATTGTCCCTCTCATTGGAGCCAGCTATATTTCTCATAACATTTTACCCTTTAATTTTTAAGATAAAAAGAAGGGAAAACAACAGCAGCATGGGCTAAGAATAAGTTTTTATTTTGGTACATAACAAATATATTGACTAGAAATTAATCCCCTTACCACATGGTATGGCACTATGTTGGTTAACACAATTCATAGAGGTTTAGACAACAGTTCTCCTTTAACCTTTATGAGGTTTTGTGCATGGCAGCTACCTCCCACTTCCACTTCTTCCTTTAATTTTAATACTGTTCGAGTAATATATTA